TCCCATCTAACTTTATATTTATGTTTGTATCTAACCTATTTAGTTGAATAAATTTGGTTCATATTATAATTTTATTTTATGGATTATAATTCAATGTTGATCTTGATTTGGATTAAGGTATTTTAATGCAAATTATGGTGTTTTTTCCCCAGTATTATGAGATCGAGCATGAGTTTTTTTAGCTCCCAACGCCTATGGATTAAAAAAATGAATATTTTTATTTGGATTTTGAAACAAATTTAAAACAGTAGGCTTGTTTTTGTTGTTTCCAAAATCTCTATATAATTTTTTAGAATGTCTCTAAAATAAATAAGAAATAAAAAAAATTGTCAAGTACTTAGGTTTTCTAATAAAATTGAAAATGAGAAACAAAAAAATAGGAATGTTACCAAATAGGCCTTAATGTTTATGTTTTTTGTTTCTTATTTTTATTTTGATAACTATTTATGTTTATTGTTTCTAATGGTTTAGAAATGTTTGTAAAATTGTATAAAAACCTTAGAAACAACAAAATCAAAGTTTATTGTTTCTCATTTCAAAATTTTTAAAAAACATAATTAAAACATTTAATTTAAAAAAGTTAATTTTCATATAAATTTTTTACTATTTTTTATTTATAAATTTAGAGAACAATAAATAAGAAATTAATATAAATATGTTTCTTTTCTTAAAAAAAGAAAGAACGAACAAGAAACAATAAATTTGTTATGCATCATCTTATTTATTTGATAATTTTATTTGTTTTGAAAGCTTAATCAATTTCAAAATAATTAAAAAACTACTTTTAATTCTAAAATATTATCTAAAATAGAAGAAAATTGAAATTAATTTACCTTAAACATAAAGGCGAAAGGCAAAATGATTACTAGAGGACCTTAATAATTTGATTTTATTCGATTGAAATAGTTAATGAATACAATTTCCATAAAGTGAATTGAATCATTCTTTAATGTGTCCATACTTTTTTAATCCATTAACTTTACGATCTTGATTGTTGTATTAATTTTTTTTTTATAACATTGATCCATGTTATCTTAAAAAATATCAAAGATTATGATAAGTTATTTTATAAATTATGTATAAAGAAAATTATCATATTTCTCTTTATTCTTTGTACTATAATTCCTCACTTATTTTAGCTTAATAATAATACAATTTTCGGGCTCGATTTATATGCGATGGATGTGTAAAGACCAGAGTTGGGAGAACATCCTCTTTGGCTAGAGAAAAACAACAATCTTGAAAGAAACTATTAACCGTTCTTATTATCTTGAGTCGAGACTTAATTATACTATCAATTATACATACATATTTCTAATTTTCTCACCTTAAAAATTGCACTCACGAACTTTTGGTTCAAAACAATAATTTAGGTTAAAAATATTTCACACTTTTAGCTTTCTATTTGAAAAAAAAACTCTATTTGCTAATAGTATCTTTTTTAGTTTCAATTCTTTTTGGTAAGGCCTTTTAGAACTTTAAAGTAACTTTTAGTTTTTAATATATTCAACATGGATTTTAAAGACATTGGTAAAAATAAAATATAAAATTATTTTTTTAATATATGAATTGGGAATCGAACTCAAAATTTATTGGTTAACGCTAGAGATATAGGCAATTATACTCAAAATTTATTAGTAAATAGAATTCTATTGCTTTTATTTATTTTTAAAATGAAGATGATGATGTATAACAAAAAATATTAATAATAGTTATATAATGAATAAATTGATTATTAAATATAGCTAAAGACAGAGTCAACTGGTGCATTCTAGAAGTGGCAAATATTCAATTATGTATATATAAATAGTTTTCATTTATTTGGCAGTGGTGTGTGGTTGAACTCAGAGCACTATCTAATATCCATGATTAGATATTAGAATTAATATTTAATTTTCAAATTTACATAAATATGTCTGAACAATATTTTTTATACAACATGGGGTAGGGTTCGAACTCATGATTTTTTGGTTAGACGTAGGTGCCTTGAACTATGTTTAGTTTGGCTTTAGAGTCAAACTTAACATGTTACATGGTTGGTTAAGATATTAATAACTATTCTATTTTTAAGCGTGGTAGATTTCCATAACCAACTCTATATTTAATTGTATAAAAAAAAGAATTTTATGAGAGTTTCTCAAACAAAACATATATAAAAAATGCTTACATGATTATAATTTTTTTGCTTTTAGCAACAAATTAATGAGAACATGTTTTGTATTTTGTTGGTTAGTTTTTACCTGTTAATTTTGTATTTAAAATATTTTAATTCTAAAATTTGAGGGTTAAGTATTTTATATAGACTTTTTGAATTAGGATAAATTAAGAGAACTTTCCTTATTCACTCTGCCCGTGAGAGTTAATATTTTTTGCTATTCTTTCCTTTGCTTTATCATTATTATTTTTCTTTTTCTAATTTCGAGTTTTAACTTTTGTATTTATCATAACTTAATAGTTCAAATTATTTTGTCTATAAGAGGTAATATTACACAAATTTTTTTTGTGATGTTTACCATTTGTTTCAACATTTGTATTTATTCTATTTGTGGTTTATAAAATTTAAATATTATATTTTTATTCTTGAAATTTGTATAAAATACCACTCTAATTTAATCCAAGGTATTAAATATMTGTCGCATGTTAGATATTTCCATGTGTCMATTGATTCGATATCAACATGAAGGTAAATGACATTACCATAGTATTGCAAAAAAGTCGACAAAATATGAAAAATATCAATAAAATATCATCAATATAGACATATTTTTATAAAATTAAAATATTGACATTATTTTTTTTCAAGACATATAATGTCGATTCATGTATTTTTTGAAAACTTTGATACATGTATTTTTTTTCTTCTTATTTTACCTCGTCAACATGGATAAGTGTTTTGACATTGTTGGAATTTCAAAAGAATATGGATCTTGTAAAATCATAATTNATAGAGAGAGAGGAAAAAGAATTTCCAAGTCATGAATCTTTTTCAAGCTTAGGTGGTCAACATTTATTGTCTGTCTAAATACTTTGAACATTAGAGACATTGACAAAAATAGTATTACATCATTAATTTTATCCTATGTATTGATCGAGAATTAGGTGTGAGACACGACATTTGAGTGTTGTGCAATTCTTTTTATTTTTATTTTTATATTGTAATGTTTTTTCCAATAGTATATTATCAATAATAAAATGAGATAGYATGGATCTCACRTTGAAAATACTAAAATCTAATCAATTTATAAAATATAATTGGATTACTCTTCTCATTTACAAAAATTGATATGACATAAAACTCGAATATGGGTTGACATCATACCTTCCATACATTTCTACAATCGTATGACGACATTGTCCACGGCCCAGTCATTATCTATTTTATTTAGGGATTAATTATATATTAACCCTAAATTAAATTAAAGATAAATTGATAATTAAAATATATAATTGGGTGATATGAGAATTGGACTTGTAATTACAAACTTGGTCCAAAACCCAATTTATTATGAGACTATATTGATTAATATTTAAATATTCAAGATTTTGATTCAAAGATCAAACTCACGTGTATTGAGAAATTAGATAAAGTACTTGTCATGCAAATTACTTATTCAAAAATTTTGGGATGAGTTTCTTCTCCAATTTTTACATCAAAAGTAGTTTAACTTTCTGATAGAATTATTGACTTTAGTTGCCTAAACGAGTGATGRAATTGCCTTTAGTTTTCTCGATTCTTTGGACTAGTATTAGAGCCGGTTATTGATTCTGCTTTTGAGTTTAAATCATACATGGTTGAGGAAGAGGAGTTTGAATGTAAACTTGCTTTTGAACTTGAACTAGATCTAGACGAGCGMTATAACTTGAACTTGACTTGAAACTAGAACTAGAACTTGAGCTCGAACTTGAATTTGAATTAGAGATATACTCCCAATTTAAACCACCACCATCGAGAAGCTCAACCCCAAGACCTACTCCAGCCTTAACCCCTATTCCATCTGAGTYTACAGGAAAAAGCAAGAAAACAATAATAGTAAATGGTTTGAAGCTTTCTCCTGTTAAATTAAAACACAAAAACAACTAAAAACTTCTAAAACAAGAGGCGATGAGTATTCAAGAAGATAAATCTAATTTATAAGCGTCGGATTGTAAGAATGCAAGAAATTTTAATGGAGCGATAATTAACACTCAACCATTTATTTAGTGTTTGTTCCACTCAAAARTAAYGAAGAATGATTAGTTTTGCACCGAGCTAGCTAAACTATAATTGATGGTATGAAAATTACCCAAAATCCYGCCATTTGGGAAGAAGGTGAAACTTTTATCCACAATTTGATTTAACAGATATGTTATGATTAGGTTTTGATCCTTACAAAATAATTCTTTAGTCTTTAGACAAAGGTGAAAAATTATATGCTCTTGATACTTATTATCCCAAAATCTTGAAATATAAGAATAAATGAAGTGGATTTTTAATATCATCTTTAGTGAAAGATCTACAACTACATAATTTAGTTGATGGAAGATCTTCTTCTTCAACCATGCACTTTGAATTTAAAGTAAACAACTTTTATTATTTGACGGAAAATAGGTGACCGTGGAGATCGTAATTCTAAATATGAAATATTGTGATACTTGAGTCATTTCTCACCATTTCTTGAGATGATTACTAATTAAATTTGTTATCTATCTAAGTTTAATGATGGTAAAAGAAATATGAAAGAGAGGATGATTATAATTTATAAGGCAAGAGAAGAAGAGCAGCAAAATATTTTAAAATTTCATAAAAAATTATGCTATTATTAATTAAAAGACGAAGTTTAAAATTTGAGAGGCAATTTTCATAAATGAAAGGCAACATCCTTCATTAAATTTGAACTATTTTTTTAGTGCATCAAGTGGTGGAATTCGAAGAGGATATTTTAGTCGCACCGTCTATCTCAGAAAAAAAAAAAAGAAGAAAAACTTGAGTTATGACACTGGTAAATTTCTAATTTTTTTAATGAAATATAGATTTTGGAAAGCAGAAAACAAATGAACTCGAATCAAATCAATTTCATTAAAAGGATTTTCAAAGAAAATCAAAACCCTAACTCTCTGATTAGGAAGAAAAGGAAAATCTGGCTTTCTTTAATCTTTTCTCTGTGTCTGCAAATCTGTTTAATCTGAAGTGACATCTTCCAAATCTCTTGTGTTCCTTCCGTTGGATATTATATTTCTCCTGTTTGTTGCTCTTCCTTCGTCTCAATTTACGATATTACGACAAGAAAATCAACTGGTACGTCTCAAATTTCTCTATTTTTTTTTTAATTTCTCTTTCCGTGTTTGTTCATCCATGGCTCTAAATTGTAGTTTTCTGATGCGAGGTTTCTTTATTCTCGCCTCCCATGGTTTTGGTCTCGCTTTTTACAGCTTACGGAAACTATTAAGCTTGCCTAAAAACTGATTTTTCTGACTTCCCCAGAGCCTGGTAGCACAATCGATTGTTTTGGGATTTTCTATTTCCTTTCTAGGTTTTGGGAACTCTTTGCCCTGCCCTTTTCGATTTTGATACTGAGTATTATTTTGCATTATGGTAGTTGGGTCAAGTGAAGAAAATAAAGGCCGTTTTGGAGTACCATGGTTTGGCTGTTGTCCTATCAAATTAGTCGAAGCGTGCATAAGTYGGTAATAAACAAACTATTTATTTACATTATATCATGAAGAGGTTTAACCCTTTCAACGGAGCATATTGATCTTAGTTTTCCTGTGTTGATATGCAGCTAGCAAGAAGCAGGGAAAGCTATCTCTAATTATTTGTTAAGGAAATATTAAATTGGAGTTTGAGTTCAACCTAATGACATGTTTGAACATTGTGTGCTTTCTCACTTGAACCAGCCATTACTGGAATATAAGTAGGAAGATTTTATTGGTTTAGATAAGATACTTCCATATTATTAATCACAAAGTATTTAATCTTTGTTTTATTAGTTCATTGTGTTAKATTTCTTATGCGAAGACACTTAGTTTTTAATTAGGTTGGTTTCAAGTTTTATTTGCTTTTACATTTAGTTAATGAGTCGTGCAGTGGGTTATTTGTATTGTTGTTTGTTTCATGAATGTAGTTGCTTTCTTTAGGTTTGGAGGGTTTGAATAACTTGGGAGGATGCAATGCATGGACTTGRTTAGATTTAACACATGGGCTTCTGTTTTGAGSAATTTCTGTTATTACCAGTTAGGTGTGAACATGCGATTCTTTTGGATTGGAGTCATTTCCTTTAGGTTGGGCTCCTTTTGTTGGTCCTTTATTTTTATTTTCATTATTACTTTAATAAATGTATGCCTTGTATATTSTTTCATTTTTCTCAATGAACTTGGTTTCTAAAAAACGAATCTAGTTGTTTTCTTAATTTCAGAGTTTTTTGGTGGTAGGTTCTCATACAAAATACTTAGTTAGACAATGGGAGAACGAAAACAAAGTGGATTTATCCACCATGGATTGACCTAGCGGTGGTTGGGACCAATGAAAAAATAAGAGAGGTTAAAGGAAATAAGTTCGAACCACAAAGACTACCTACCCAGGATTTAATATCTTATGAGTTTTTGTGGCAATCAAATATAATAAGATTATATTATATGGTTGTTTTGTGAGATTGGTCGAGGTGTGCATAAGCTAATTTGGACACTCCCGATTATGTAAGATAAAAGGTGGAATAATGGATTTAATTGTTTCATAAAAATCTTTTGGAGTTATTTTCTAAGATGTTTGACCTTTTCTGAACTCTAACTTTGGATGACAATACTCCCTCGATCATGTCAAAAGGATATTATTTGATCCTTCATCAGTAAGGGGAGAGAGGTGAATTTCATCTCTAACTCGCTTCTTGTTTAATTTTGAAATTCTATCAACTGGTTTATCACAATTACTCAAGACAATTTTGGCAAGGTTCGTGCAATATTGCTCACTTTAAAATGTCAAATTTCTGGTATTTTTTAGTAAGACTGTTAAAACCATGCTTCATTCAAAAAATCTTCAATAAAGTTAAGTCTTCCTTCTTTGCTTTTAGTTTTAGGCCTTAGTGGTGCATTCTATATAATAGGATTTTGAGGATTTTGACCATATCTTTTGAAGGTGTTCTTCTTTTGGGGCAATTGTTGGAGCTATTTCCCAGTATTCAGGGTGGCCTTGGTTGAGTGAATCTTGTTACAATATGTTTGGCAGAAGTTGTTTTTACCCTGTCTTAGAAACATTTCTTTGGCATTTGGCAAGCAGGATTTCTGGMGGTTCTTCGGAATATTGAGTTAGAGAGAAATAGAAGAGTTTTTACRGGTCTTGGGAGGTTGTTTGGAGTTTGGCCTCCTTTAATGTATCCTTTTGAGCTGTTGAGTCTATATATTGGTCTGGTTGGATCTAAGACTTGTTTATTTGTCTTTAGAATTAAGCAACAAGTTTCTTCTCTTAATACTATCAAGGTCTTATTTGATTTACTTATTTCTRTCATAATTTTGCATTCTGTTTTATGTATGTGTGTTTGGTTCAAGCATCCAGCAGTGTGTGAAAGTGTCCACGTGCTTTACTATTCGTGCAGCGTTTGACAGGGGCATCCGGTAAATCATAAATGTCCTCAAGAGGAACACTTCAACCGCTATACAATGGACGTCCTGTTCGGGCTCCAGGGTTGATGCGGCATGGTCCATTTCCTGGATCAGACTCCACTGCTGGCCACCAGTCATCCAAGTCATTGCATCCTCTTGAATTATTAGAAGATAAATTARCTGTTCAGACATCTGACATAGAAAAACTTGGAAGGGAAAATCATAAGTTGGCAACAGCTCATGTCACTTTGAGGCAAGAACTCGTGGCTGCCGAGAAGGAAATACAAACCATGCGGGCACATATTCGAAGCATTCAGACAGAAAGTGATATTCAGATGAGAGTATTGGTAGATAAGATTGCAAAAATGGAGGCAAGTATTAAAGCCGGAGAGGGGTTGAAGAAGGATTTGCAACAGGCACACATGGAGGCACAGGGCTTGGTCAAAGATAGACAAGAATTGACCTTCCAAATTCAACAAGCGACTGAGGAATTGCATAAAACAGAGTCTGATACAAAGAATCTACCCAATTTACATGCCGAGCTCGAGGATTTGAGGCAACAGCACCAAAGGCTACGGTGAGTTATGATCTGTGCTGCTTTTCGTTTACAGTTCTGAATTTCAGTAATTACAACGTTAGCTACTAAATGAATGAAAGTACCAAAAGGCCCATGCAAAGAAGGCTGTCCAACAGCTTTTAGTTAAAAATGAAAGAGAACTTCCATCTTGAAATTTAGCTCAGTTTTTCACCGTCCATTCGAGTCGTTGCAAAGGAGGTGATCCAACTGTACCTTCTAGTACCGGATACATTGCTCCAACTTCACTCTAGTCACTATTCCTATTTTTGGGTTTTGTCTTTTCTTGCGATATGGTAATTGAGCGCCCTTGATCCACCACCAACTTTGTTTGATGCCATGAGAGTGACCTTGATTTTCTTACAACTYGACTAAGCAACAATCTTCCTCCTCCTCAGACTGCCTTTTTGTTGATTAGATAATTCAAATAAACCTCTTGGTCTGTCCTATTTTACAGTTTAATGCTGCTTAAGACTATTGACTGTGTTCCTTAAAACGTACCAGATAATTGTTTGGCGCTTGGCAGCATAATGGTGCTATGTGAACTGGGGCGACATTACTCCTATGTTTCTCTCTACATGATATGCATTATAGATATTTTGATTCTGATATCAATTTCCAACTTAACGTGTTGATTCTTTTTGATATTTATCGATTTGGTAAGCAGGGCTACATTTGAGCACGAAAAAGGTTTGAATATAGAGCTAGTGGAGCAAATGAAAGCAACGGAAATGAACCTGGTTGCCCTGGCAAGGGAAGTAGAGAGGCTGCGAGCTGAGGTTTTGAACGCGGAGAAAAGGGCATACGGTACAGTTCTTTTTGCATTTTCCTTTCCAGTTAACTATCTTTGGATGTTTATTGACACTTGCAAATGAAACTCCCTGCTTCTGTAGCACCAAATGCATATGGTGGTGCATACATAAATTTGGATCCGTCGTACCCACCGCACATGTCCGGTGCCAATGGCTACACCGACTTGTATGGAAGGGTGCCAGTCACAATGGCTTCTATGGCCCCAGGAGACGGTCAAATTCCTCATCCCATTGATAACAGCCAGGCCCCCGCTGGAACGGTTGCAGGTGTGGCTGCCCCTGTTGGCGGAAGTGCTGGCTATGAAGCAACGATCGATCCGTCCATCACTCGGAGATAAGTGCAAGGCCATGTTTGTTTGATCAGATTAACTGACATCCATCTTTTGTTAGTAGAAAATATACAGATCTTTAGTTCCAAGTTTCCCCCTGTTAACATTTTTAGTATCTTGCAAACACAAAGAATACCATCATTTTAACATTTATCATTCATGGCAAACTTGATGTAATTTTTGCCAAGAAATAGTTCACTCCCTTCTTGGTTTATTTTGAAGAAATCAACTTTCTGCATTTGGGTACAAGTTGATTGACTGAAATGGAATTGGTGAGCTTGGAAGTAAGATTGGAATATCTGTTATCTCTTTGTAAATATATTAATGGAAGAGATGTATCAATGATGTGGATCAGATACAATTTGATCTTCCTTATAAGAATGTGTTATTTGATTTATGTAGGTTGGTGTTACTTCAAATTCTGTTGACTGTTTTAAATAGAAAGATGAAGAGAGAGTCTCACAAATATAATAAGACATTATCACTGTAAATCGATCTATAGATGTTCGTTTGGCCAGTTTTTAGGTCCGATGTTCATTTGGTCGGTTTCGAGGTGAATAAACTTTACCACTTGTTTCAAAACACCTCTATCATTCCAAAAAGAAAGTTTCAATATTGTACTTGAACTTTTATAAAAGACTATTYGAACAAATATCTATTAAGATTTTGGATAAAAAGTTGACATGACTGAGTTGGGAATGATATGACAGTTAGCATGGAAGTTTGCTTAGATTAAGTCTTTTAGATTAAGTCTAAAAAAAATATGAATGTGTCACACCAACTTTCTATTTAAAATATTTAAAATATTAACAGATATTTGTTCAAAAAATATTTTTAAAAAGGTCAATGGTAATATTGAAAAGATTATGAAAGGACGTGATATTTTCTAAACAAATGGCAAAATTTCAGAAATACAATTTTTTTTTTTAAATTCAGGCTCAAGTTAAATTGACAATTTTTTAATTAATTTAAATTTAAATTTGACATTATTTGAAAGTTTTAAATTAACAGTCTGTCTTGGACGGCCCAACGAAGGCCCATATAAAATCGGCCCATTTAGGAGTTTTTATATGATTTCTTTGGTACAATACAAGATCGAGAGCACTTTTGGTTCAACTTAAACTGCGCCTTCGTCCAAGTTATATAAGCGGAGTCTTCCGTTTGATCTCCTCCATTTCTCGGAGCTTGAATCCGATCAGCCATGGCCGAAGTAAGCTTCGTTTCTCTCTCTCTCTGTTTAGTTGCACGAAAATCAACCATAGTGAATCAATTTTTTCTTTTTTATTTGATACTCTGTATTTATCATTTCCCTTTTTCCAATCATAGACGGGCGGAATAGGTGCCCGCGATTTGGATGCAATTGTCGTTTTATCTATATGAAAAATATGTCTCCTCGTAACCCTTGTTTTATTATCTTTTTTAACTGTGATTTTGTTCGTATTAGACGTATAATCTGAATTTCTAGTTTGAAGGAATGATGTTGCTGCTTTTTCTTCGGTGCTTTCTGTAAACTAGCTTCGCTGGCACAATTTCCCACATAGTTGTAGGACTTAAAATTCTTAGGATTTTAAGCCATGAAATTCTTCAACGCTTGTTGGATATATTGAAACTTTTATGTGTTACCTTTTGGTTATTTTTGGACACAATGACTCTGGAAGCTGCAGAACTGTTAGGAAAAAACAATGACTTTTCTTTATTTAAATGAGAAAGTATTGGTAAATAAATAAATTTAACAGCCGGAAAAAGAGAAGGAGAACGTTTTTTTGTTGATGTCGCTGATAAAGATGTGAAGTAGAATATCAACTTTAGAATGAATTTCCTTGTTTACAGTTGAAAAAACTACAAACTCCCTCTTGATTGTTATATCATTACTAAAATTAAGATTTACATCGTGAATAGTGCTCACGAGAGCAGGGAACTGTATATGTTAAATCTCACTATAGTTTCTTCTAAGAGGCAGATCAAATCTTGAATTGATTATCATTGAATCGATAGGAAAACAAGGATTCAATTTCAATTCAAATATTTTTTGTTGAAAGATAACTGACATAATTGTGGGAAAAAGAATTTGAAAAGAGGAGATGCAACACCATATATCCTGCCAAATACAAATTCCTTGACCATGGCCTTAGTTAGTATAGTAAACTRTCATAGGGAGAAAGAATTGATGCGTTAAGAAACATATTTTCAAAGGACAGTGTTCAGTGCTTATCCTGCCAACCTCTTAAGTCCACTTATTTTGAACTCCATATTTGCCATAGAAACCTAACCAGATTCACTGAAAAGCTGGTAATCCGTGCTAAAAACACCCAATAAAAATAATAGAAAAATAGTCAACAGTTTCTTTTKGAAGAAAAAATACTTCCATTAATAATAATGGATGATAAGACATGCGAAGGATGAGATCTCATCTCCATTAAAAGTTGAAAAAGGATAGTAAATAAAATTCTCAATACTCAATAATAGAGAAAGAGCAGAATCTCTTAAAACCTTGTCAATTGGGCATAATTTTAGGCATGAAATATATTTTTATGTTAAAAAGAATTCTGTTTTGCATGTTTATATTGTGTCTATCCATACTTCATACTTGACATTGTGCTCACCTTTAGAAAGATGGTAGGGGCGCGTTAGCGCTTTACTAATAGTTTTCGAAAGTTGACTATTAGCGATAATGTTTCTTGCTCTTGCCAATAATTGAAGATAGATGTCAGTTTGTATCTTGGTGTTTGTCATGGATTGAGGTATGGAAGGCACAGGGGCCTCTAGCCCAAATTAACCACACCTAACTGATAATTACAAAATTCTTAGAAATCAACCTCACAGGGAGGTATCGTTCCTCTCTAACCAAATTTCGCACGTAGTAGCAAGGAAACAAGCCTGCCACAAGAACCTACCCCTAGGGGTCGTTCTCTAGTCGGGATGTTTTTTGTATACCATTGTATATTTTTCATTTCTCTCAATGAAAGCTTGAGTTCTTGTAAAAAAAAAAGTGTTGGAATGTGCTGTTCGCTCATATTGGAAGAATGTTATTAGGAAAATGATTAGCAACTACTCATTTCTATTCAGATGAAAATTCAATGATGTGTATCTCTTTGTCGATCTGTTAAACAGATCTATGAAGTGAGTATTATAAGATGAGTRGCAGTCCTTCATCCAGATRTTCATGTTCTCTTCAATCTCCATTCTAATTTTCTTTTCTTGTCCTATCCATTCTTGTTTGTCATCTCAGATAGAGCTGAAAACAGCACCTGCTGACTTCCGATTCCCTACAACAAATCAAACCAGGCACTGTTTCACTCGTTACATTGAGTTCCACAGGTGCATTTTTCTTATAACTTGGGATAAGAGTTCCAATGGAAAACAAAAGGGTCCACAGTCTTTCTCACTGTTAGTTTTCCCCTTAAATATGCGAAACTTTGTACAGGTGCCTGTCAGCCAAGGGTGAGGAGTCTGGTGAATGTGAAAGATTTGCAAAGTATTACCGGGCCCTTTGCCCCGGTGAATGGGTGAGATTCATTGTATTTGGTGTTGCTAAAAGTAAATTTAAATTTTCTGGTCCATTTTTCCGGCTCATATTGATGCATTTGTGCTAGCACTTGTGTGCATGGCCGCAAGAATTTCTTCTGCTTTTTCCAATATCAGAGTTGCTTGAAATATTGACACTCTTGATTGAATTCGAAGTTCCAATCATAAAATATTCTCTATGGGCCATAAAAATATTCTTTTGATTTCTGTGCCTCCCGTAGCATCAGGTTAGATGTTAAGAATTTTATCAGCTACTGAAGTTATTTTTACCTTGAAATTCATGCATCTTTTACAAGTAAGCGGTTCCCGGCATGTGAATAACCAAATCCTTTCCGCAGGTTGAAAAATGGAATGAGCAGAGAGAGAACGGCACTTTCCCTGGCCCTCTGTGAAAGAATGAATGTTCGTCACCCGGAAAGCACAGATCGACAATTTCTGTTCGTTCTCTCAGAAAGCTATTTCGGAGTTCCATAATTTTTCATTGCATCTCAGAAAACAATAAAGGATAATATTTTGTTTCAAGTCTTGTTGAGTAGTTATGGCTCAATTGTTGATTGTAGACAAGCTCAATCGATGCCGTTGCACCTTGGCATTTGTCAACCCTTTCGTGTTAATTTGATTTCATGAATCATTTTCAGTCTTGTGTGTAATTATCTCTTCATGCCACCTTACTCTATACTGTTTTATTGTTAGTTTCTGAACATGCTTCTTTTAATTTTTGCTTAGAACAGATGAAAGCAATCATGGATTAGCTAGAAACTGGACAGAATTTCGCAAGGGGGGTGACACATGAAGACCTGAGAGATGTATTAAGCCAAAGAAATATGAACCGTAAGTCAGGTTATCGATTGGACAATATTAAGAGAGTGAAATAGTTTAGATCCATTTTTTTTTTCTCTCATTATCTACATATTGTCTCACATGTAAGAGGGAGAACAAGGTCATTTTAAGCTCGTTGCCATTTATATCACARGGCTCCTAAGACAATGTGAGAAGAAGGGCGAGAGATTGAGCATGATATAGGGAAGAGGAAAATTAAAAAAATGGGCAATAGTGAGATTTCACCCATCAGCAGAGTCCTAATAATCTTTATTTTCTATTTAGTGTATGAGAACTATTTTGGGCCTTCAACAACCTCACTTGAACGGGATCTGTTCTATAGGTTGTACAAGTTCTTGAGTTCTAAAAAACCTCTTTTGGGCCTTAGTTTTAGATTGATTCATTACTATTACTTATTTGATCAATTCATTAGTTATTTGCCTAACATTAGTTCTTGTTTGGCTGCTTGACAATTGTTAGTATAGAAAATGGCTGTTGGTAGAATGTGAAAAAAATGAGAATTTCCATGTTGGTTGGTGGGGTTTGGAAAGAGGTTGAATTTCTTTATTTAAAACTAGAGAGGGACAAGTTGGGAAGGTAGAACAGAGGTTCGAACTTCTCGTATGTCACTATCTTTTTTTATAGGTCATTCTGGTTGAGGATTTCTATCAACGCACASAATTGCATTATCATCTTTTCATATAAGATTTAAAGTTTATCTCGATTAATTTTGCTGTTATTGGGCGGTAAATACAGAAGATCTACATGAAACAAATCTAGGTATCTGGAAATTAAACTATAAATATAATTTGTTTAAGATATGTAGGAGAAGATTTTGGAGAAATATGTTGGATAAGATCCTTCCATTTGCAAAAATAAACAATCAAATCAGATTCTTGAGTCCTTTTTTGTTTTATTTATTTATTTTTTTAACTAGGGGTGGGAGCTATGCTCCCCAATATCTAGGGATACCTATGCCCGTCTTAAGGTCCGAACTCGAAAGATATTAAAAATTTTGTGTATTAAGTTTACTTAGAGGTTCAAACTTAAACCTCTAGCCAAGAGACTCGAAGTTCTTGTCAATAAAGTCTCTATTTGGTCATACCAAAGGGATCTTGAGATTTAAAAATAAGCTTGACCAGTTCAGATTGAAACTGAATTTCTACCTGTTTGATGTGGTCAAAAGGTTCCAATTTCCCATGGCCATCCCTTTAATATGCTTTTGGGGCTTTGTGAATTGATTTATAAATCAAAGTCAGAAGAGAGCTTTTTTCTAAAACTTCCATAATCCATTAGCTGTGAATYGAAGTCAAAAACAAAAAAAGGCATGAAAAGAAGAGCTTCTTGATTGAAGGAATCTTATACCATTGGATGCCTCTCAAATTCAAATTTAGAAGTTAGAAAGTCTTTTGAGAGTTTATGGCAAGATGTAAAAGGACCAAATTGAGTCTTATGCTCAATAAAAGATTTGATATGTTGCTTTATAGAGAAGATTTGTTACATATGCTACTTTATTAGTTTAATTACTGCACTTTGACTAAAGTATAGTTTAATAGTAAAAATATTTACTTTTTTTTTKCCCTAGATGTTTGACACTTAAATGTTACAAATTTGTTCATGTTGTCAATTCATAATGTTACACTAAACACAATTCAAAATTAATTAATGAATCTTTTTAAAATTTAAAGGTCAACTTGAATATAACTAACTAACATATATCATGACTAAAAGTTTGGACGGTTTGAATCCCTACTCGAATATGTTGACTATTTTCTTTTCTTTTTTAGAGATTAAATATGTATGGCTAAGAAAATTCTGAGTCTAAATTTAAATTTATATGTAATCTTATAAATTATTTGGAGATACTCATGTATTTTGCTTCTTAAGTAGAGTAAAAGAGATATTTCTTAATTTTGTTAAAAAAATGATATTTCTTTTTTGCTTTTCTGGCATGATTTCTCTTATCCATTAAAAATCATCCTTAAGCTTAAAACAGTAGTAATTGTGTTAAAAAGATTTACCAATGAGCATTGAGACTTAGACTATCACTTTTATTTCATTTTCTATGTCAATTTCAGATCTAGTATAAAAAGGGAAAAAATAAATAAAGATTAAGTTGACTTTAAGGGTGGACTATGCTTGAATTTCCTAAGTAGACTTGGTTTTTATATTGTTATTTAAGTATTATATGTCCATTTTCCAATAATAATTACAAAATTAAGGTGTATTAATTATTTATTATTTCTACCTTCCATCCACCATTATTTTAAGAAGAGAAGACGTATTGGTTTATCCTCCCTTATATTGAAAAATAATTTAAAATATAATCTTGCTAACACCTGCAAGAATTAGCCTTGAACAGTTTTTTTTTTTTTTTTGAAAATGTATGTATAGCCAAAAATAGACCACACCTAAAANCAATTTAAAACAGACTTTTCAAGTACTTAAATATTATTTAATGGATGAAAACGGGGGAATTTTTAATTACGATCCATGCAGTAACATCGTTTTCAATCCATTTAATTTGAATTGGCATTTTCTGCATCATAATTATCATCATAGTTATTGTGAAGAAACACCTACAAGAATTAGCCTTGGACAGTTTTTTTTTGAAAATGTATGTATAGCCAAAAATAGACCACACCTAAAATCRGGTSAAATTATAATTATTCAARTTGATTCTGTAGTAATAAGATCAGCTAAGCCTTATTTRGCCACTTCAGGAGCAACTGTTCATCGCCATTATGGAGAAATCCTTTACGAAGGAGATACCTTAGTTACATTTATATATGAAAAATCACGATCTGGTGATMTAASGCAGGGTCTTCCAAAAGTGGAACAAGTATTAGAAGTGCGTTCGATTGATTCAATATCGATGAGCCTAGAAAAGAGAATTGAGGGTTGGAACGAGCGTATAACAAGAATTCTTGGAATTCCTCGGAGATTTTTGATTAATTATCCCATTTTATAAAAAAATCTACAAAATTAGAAAACATTATTGAATGCATCTATTAGAGCAATTTCTTAAATAATAAAAGAAAAAATAWATTTTAAAAAAATTGATGTCAATTTATCAACAAATTGTTTTGTGTGTGCGTGTATATATATTTGACAGAGCAGTTCTATATTTATATTCACTCTTCATAATAAGAAAAATATTATAATAAATGCAAGAGCAACTGGGACATTATTCTTAAAAAAAGGGCAATTGGGACATTCTATCATGCCCACTAGTTAATTTACTTTTTTCAAAAACAAGAAAAAAAAAACTCCACTTGGTGAATGTATTAAATTAATTGAAAATAAATATATATCCAAATATGTAAATTATTTTTAATTTTTTTAAAGCAGTGATTTGGCTTTCCTAAATTACTTGAATATCACATCTTGATGAGCCAATAAGAAAACTATTTGCTGTCCCATAGGTTAGGTAATATAATAATTAGAAACAAAAAGGTAAAAAAAATTATAACAAACAAAAACCAAAAAGGTAATTTTTTTTCTTTCTTTTGGCAAGAGGGTAAATCATTGGGGAAAAAAGTGGGTGAGAAATTCAAACCAACCATCTTAATAATCTACCAAAAAAGCAAGATATTATGGTGATAACATTTTTTATTGAAAAAAATAATAAGAAACAAAAAATAGAACTTTATTGAGACCTTCAATTTCTTTATTTGTTTCATATTAAAAAAATTAATTTTTTAATTTAGAATTTTAGCGAATGAGTAACAAAAATTGTTCCCAAATATGTTACTATAATTTTTTTTCAATAAAAGAATAGAATCAAGAAGCAATTGTCAAATGTTGTTTTTATTTATTAATAAAGAGGAAATAAAAAAAAATCAAATGAATCTAGATTACATTTCTTGTTTCCAAATTCACTTGTTTAAATAAATTATATTAAAAGAGGAAAAAAGAAAAAAAAAACTACATCAAATGAATTTAGATTACATTTCTTGTTTCCAAATTCACTTGTTTAGATATAGATTATTTAATATATGTATGAAATTAAAATATTTTATAAACTCATTTGATAAATATATTATTTTAGGCAATAAATTCATTTTACTTTTATTAAAATTAAAGCAGCAAAACATAATATATTATATATTATACAATATTTTAAAACAATAATMCTATAAAATTTATAACATCTATTAATAAATAAATTACTAATATTTTAGATTGAACTAAAATTTAGTTAGTAACTCGAAATATATTACTAAATATATAGAAATATAATTCAATTCAAATCCATTTCCAAAAATATATTAAAAAAAAAAATTACAATTATGTTATTCATTAAATCACTTGTAATCAATTACAGGTCCTTCAAAATCAAGACTCCTTATATTAAAAATCCAAATATATATATGTATATATATATATGACTTAAAAAGATAGTTACATTTATAAATTTTTACATATTTAAAATCAAAAGAGTGAGAGAGAGATTGTTGTTGTTATTTTTTATTTTTTATTTTTCATTTTATATTTTCCTCTCTCTCTAAAGTAAGAGAGAGAAAAGATTTGACCCAAAGTAACAAGAGCTGCCCCAAATTCAAACCTCCCTGAAAAGCGAAGAAAAAGGGCAAACTTATTTCATCACACGTGGCATCCATTCCCAGCGAGTTTCCAAAACGTAAATAGCGCGTGAACATATTATTATTATATTATATTATATAGCCGCTCTCTGAGGACCGTTTTCGCTGCTTCTTCTTCTTCTTCTTCCTCTAAAGTAAGAGAGAGAAAAGATTTGACCCAAAGTAACAAGAGCTGCCCCAAATTCAAACCTCCCTGAAAAGCGAAGAAAAAGGGCAAACTTATTTCATCACACGTGGCATCCATTCCCAGCGAGTTTCCAAAACGTAAATAGCGCGTGAACATATTATTATTATATTATATTATATAGCCGCTCTCTGAGGACCGTTTTCGCTGCTTCTTCTTCTTCTTCTTCTTCTTCTTCCTTCGTCAAAATCTCGCCACTGGCAAAATCTTCGATCCTCCACAATGCCTCGCATCAGCAATAACCTCGTCGGAATCCTCAATTTCATCACCTTCTTGCTCTCGATCCCCATCCTCTGGGCCGGCGTTTGGCTCAGCAAACAGGGAAGCACCGAGTGCGAGAAGTACTTGGATAAGCCTGTGATCATCATCGGCGTCTTTCTTATGCTCATTTCTCTCGCCGGTCTTCTCGGTGCCTGCTGTAGAATCTCATGGCTTCTCTGGGTTTACCTTCTCGTCATGTTTGTTCTCATTGTCATCCTCTTTGCCTTCACCATTTTCGCTTTTGTGGTCACTAACAAGGGTGCGGGCGAGGTTTTGTCCAATAGGGGTTATAAGGAGTACAGGCTTGGGGATTACTCGGATTGGCTGCAGAAGAGGGTTAGTAATGCCAAAAATTGGAACAAAATTAAGAGCTGTTTGATTGATGGCAAGATCTGTTCCAGCTTTGCGGATAAGTATGTTAAGGATACTGTTGAGGATTTCTACAAGGAGCACTTGTCTGCTCTTCAGGTATGATGTAAATGGGACGTTTGAACTTGGATTTCAATTGGGGATCGGCTTAATTTGAGAACCCTGTTGTTGAATTTAGTTTTGTTTTCGTTTCAGCTTGAGTCTTAATCTTAGTTGTGATTTGTGAATCTAGATTTTGGGTGATTGTGTCTGGTTTCTTCTCCTGGATATGATTTGTTGGAGATCTCTTCTGTGGATCTTGAGGACATATGGATCTCTGTTGTTTGAATTTCTTTGTTTTTCTTTCATTTATTCTTTATGTAAATGTCTGGATCTAAAAACCTCTTCTGATTGGTACTATATTTCATTTATTCTTTATCCACAAGCTTCTCCTAATGCCCTTTCTCTCTTATTTGGGGGTTTTAGTTGAGCTAWTTTTTTTTATAAACAGCCACTGTTTTTTGAAACTCTGTTTTCTACAGTATTATCACTATTGTTTTCTCTCTCAAAAAGTTGATCATCTTTAGAGCATCCTTTAAGCAAAATGGCTCTTGCATTATATTTATTCTATGCCACCAATTATTTCTGTCATACTCATATAACCTTTATTCTTTCTTGACTTTTTAGTTTGTTGATTTGCCACTTTTTASAACTTTCTGGGTATGGATCTGTCATTTGTGCGCCTCCTTTTGATCAATAATAGTTTGAGAAAATTGAGTTTGCATTTTTACCTCTGGACATGGAACTGTGCTTCTGGGAGTGCTGCTACTTTGCAAGAAATTTGTGGGTTTAGTCTGTGTGCAGCCTCTCATCAACAAAATTGTTTGTAAGCAAGATTGAGGGATTATGATACTGGTCGTTTCATGCATGTGAAATTTATAGTTCTAGTAATGGCATTATGTTTGATGGGTTAGTTTGCTTTTGATTTTTCTGAATTTGGGTTGCTCAATATTGTTACTGAGACACCATTTTAAGTTCTTGACAGTTGAATCCGTTAGGAAAGCTGTTAACTATTGCAATATTGTCTTAATCGTTCTGTTATTGATATGCTATCGTTCTTTCTGTTCATTGACTTTCTTGCATTTGAGATTGACTAATCAACTGGGATTCAAACGTTCGTGACTTGGAACTTTCTATTGGTGGATTCCAGTGGCAGCTTGATAGTGTGCAGATGCATATTCTTGYTTTATTTGTTGTTTTTGAATATCAAACTCCATARATATCGAGTTCTTTCCCAGTTCTCTCCATTCTGAGTAGATATACGATTTGGCATTTCATTTTTGTGAAGTTTAGTCTCGGGCCAAATTAGACTAGTTTGACTGTTCTAGCTCTTTGATCATGTCCTTCATATGTTGAATGTAGATCGACTTCTAATTTGCTTGCTTATGTGCAGTCTGGTTGCTGTAAGCCTTCAAATGACTGCAATTTTGATTATGTGAGCCCAACTTTCTGGAACAAGACTGCTACGAACTCGCCCAACCCCGACTGTAATTTTTGGGAAAATGACCCCAACATTCTGTGCTTCAACTGCCAGGCCTGCAAGGCTGGCTTGCTGGATAACATCAAGAGTAACTGGAAGAAGGTCGCTGTCGTGAACATCGTATTCCTCGTGTTCCTCATTATCGTTTACTCAGTTGGCTGCTGTGCTTTTCGGAACAACAGAGAGGACAATGCCTACCATCGGCAATGGAAGTGATATCAAGCCGAACCGATAGTTCTGTAAGCATTCTCATTGTTTAGTTTGCCTATATTCCGAATGCCCCTCTTTGTAAATTGTTTTCCCCCTCCCGTTTCGGAGCATCGTGATTTTTTTTCGACTTTGATCTGCTGTTCTCTTTGGAGATATTCATTATGATTTGTAGTGCTGATATTGATTATGTTCTTCCACTTTGTGAATGTTGCTTAGATTTCTGGCTATTGTAACATCAATTTTTGGTATGACATTTTGCAGTTATTAAATCTCTCCCTTTAGTCCTTTTTCCTGTCTGTAATGTCTCGGAGAAATACCTTCACCCCCTCACAGAATTTCATGCCTGGAACACAAATAGAAACCTTACGACAACTTACTTAGTGACTCCAAACCTCATCTCTCGAAAGAGACCCTTTAGAGGAGGATGTCGGTATCTTCGCATCACAATAATGTTGCGACAGCTATATATGTAGTTTTGTTGTTAAATTTTAAGGTCGTTTTTTGCTTTTACATATTTTCTTGCGTCTTGTTCTTAGATTTTGAAACACTCTAAATGACTAGTACAAAAAGAAGAAAGCCCGAACCCGAAAATTCCTACGCACCTATCTCTAGGATTCTCAAGACCTCAAACATTTTCCTATTTCTCTCCAGATGAATGTTTGATGTAGTAAAAAAGCTGCACGTCAAAAAAATCCGACCCTTATCCTAAAACCGCGATGGAACATCACCTCCTAGAATCAAACAGCTCCAAAAACCAGTAGCTTATGCTGTCTTTTCCTGACTAATACTCTGTCTTGCAAAATTTAAGTTGTGTTGAATGTTCCATTCGTCAACTTTTATCAAAAATTTATAAATGTAACTTATCTCTTTTCTTTAAGTCATATATATATATTTTGATTAAAGTATGGGTGGGTCGGAAATGCATGAACCAGTCAAATGTTGACTTTAGGTAGAGCATGAATTGAGCACTCTTTTTTAAATGAGGTTGAAGTGAGMGAGTGAAAAATCTACGAATACCGTATTTGTACATTTTAATTATTTCTTTGCTTGTGTTTTTTAAATGATTGTATTTTTCTTTCTTAATAATACATGTAAAATAATTTATTAAAAATCATGTTATATTACAAATTTCTGGTGTCTATTTAGAAATATTACAAATCTCTCTAAGCCTTGAATTTGCTTATTCTAAATCTTATTAGATAACGTTTATTTTAGTCACTCTCCCTAATACTAATATTTGACAAAATATTATTGTAATACTATTAAATAGAATTTGGATGAGATACCTTAGGGCCCGTTTGATAACCTTTTGRTTTAATTTCCCTCTAAGAATTTTCTGTATTTTTGTTTTTTTTCTAACCAATCAGTTTTATTTCTCTCTCTAGAATTTAATATTTTTTCTAATTTTTTTCTCTCGAAAATTTCTCTTCGTAATCTATTTTTTCTTCTAAAAATTATATTTTATTTTCTTGTTCAATTTTCTTTCACTGTAACTTTTATTTATCTTTGTATTTATTTATTTTATATAAAACTTATATTTTTAATCTTGTTTTTATCTCTAAATTTGTTTCCACTATAATTTTTCTCCTTYATAATTCTTTTTTCTTTAACATATCTTTTCCTCCCGACTTTATTTTTTTCTCCAAAATTTTTCTCTTTTTGTCTTTTAACTTTTCTTTAGCTATTTTTTTTCTTAATATTTTTATTTATTTATCTAAAATTTATCTTCCAAAAGTTTATTTACATCTCTATTTTCATAGACAAAAATTTCCGTAGGGTTGGGTCTCAAAAATAGAAAATGCACGTCCCAACCCCGTCCCCGATTCCATTTTTTAAATAATCAATATATATTACACTTCTTTTTATATTTAAATTCTAAAAATAATTAAAAGTATTTATAAAATCGATAATTTTTCTGGAGGACATCTCTCGGAACCAAGAACGATGTGGAGACGGAGACGAAAAATTTTCACGAGCCTGAGAATGAGAGAGAGCATCCTCACTCACACCCACACTATCTCTACTCTACATAAAATTTTCTCTCTCTAATATGTATTTTCAATATTCTAACTTTTTAAAAACACAAAAYTAAAAATGGTTACCAAATATRTTTCCTTAATATTTGTCCATTAAAATGCAATTCTCGCTATAGCTCTATTTGTCTAAGTAATTTTTTTTCTCTTTTTCTTTTCCTCGACTATCTCGACTCTCTATATAACTTTTCTTTCACTCTTCTAATTTATCTCCCTCTCTCAAACATATCTCTTTCTAACTTTTATTTTTCACTTGTAACTTATCTTTGTCTCTTTTAACTTATATTTTCCTCCCTAACGTATCTTTATAATTTTCTACTCCCTAACACATTTCTCTATCCTTTTAGCCTTTTTTGTCTCTTTTTTTTTTCGAACTTTTTTAAAAGAAAAAAAGAAAGAGATTTTACCTTGACTGCAATTTTAAAGAGACGTGGAAAGAAAGCCTACGGGAGTCGTTTCTAGCATTGAAAACCGTCTTTACATTGAATGGTTTGGTATATAATTCATACCTTAAATTGACCGCAACTTCTGTATTTATAATTGATTGCATTATTGCTCCTCTAGTAGATATTAATGGTATTCTTGAAACATGTTACTATTTTACACACTAGTCCCATTGACATCATCATTTCCATCGATATTTCTGAGCATTTCAAACTTTGATTTAGAGCATGTTTAGAAGTGATTATTTTGACATAGCTAAAATCACTTTTACAATTTTATAAAATCAAACTTTGATTTAGAGCATGTTTAGAAGTGATTTTGACATAACAAGCCAATTCTTTTTAATATTTTCAAAACAGAAAAAAAATACTATAATAAAAATTGAAAATTGGGGATTCAATAGGTTGAATTTCCCAATATTTTTGAGGTGATGAGTTTATTTTCGAATGCCAAATTAAATTCAAACAGATTTTTAATGATTTTATGTCACTCATGATTATTGCTCATTATTTACYTAAAAAATAATCATCAGTAAAACATGGAACAATTTAAAATATTTTTATCATTATTAATTTTTTATGAATACCATTTTTTTAAAACTAACATGGGAAAATAAATCATTGTTAATACCTTATCTATACACAAAACACTCTCGAATTCAATTTTTTTTTTTTTGTGCATATTAACTTATTCATGCATTTGGATGATCAAGATTGGTGTCATTTTTCTCGTATCGAGAAGAAAATTGGCCGCTCTGCATCTTAAACCCATAAGGACAAAAATAATAATAATGGAGTGACATGATCGGATGGGGCCATGGCCTGCATTATTTTACTTAGATCAAAGGCCAGTGGGTGAACAGCACGTGAATTGCATGGCTTTTCCGATAAACCTTTCCAACGATGCTCATATATATAAAATATATGTATATATTTTGTAMATGTTAAATATATAAAAGAAAAATATGGACCAACRTCACCCTATAGYTCATCCATSATATTAATTGACATCTACTTCTTCTYTTGAGATCGAATGTTCGAACCCCATATCTATCACCATGAGATCAAGACATGAATGTAATAAAGTATTTAGAAAAAGACGTAAGGAATATCAACAAGAAAAGCAATAATACAGCTAAAAACACAAAAAATAAGTATGTGTTTTCAAACCTAACATAAATTTTGAAACTTTTACAACAAATAGTATAATCCAAAGCAAACTCAATCAAATGTAATATAAAACCCAATAAAAAAAGTCACATTTATACTCTATTTTTTTAGAAAAAGAAAATTTGTAACATCTTTAGAATAAGTATTCATTTTACGTTATTTATTCTAAATATTACATTGTAATTAATGAGATCAGCCTTTTTTTTGTTTTTATTACTGATATTGTACATTTTATAATATTTATAAAAATAATTTATTTTAAAGATCAATTACAAAAAAAATAAAAAAGAAACTAGTAAAAGTATAAAAAAGAATACGGTAGTTTTCGTAATATGGTAATTTGTATTGTTTAAAAAAAAGGGTAATTTGTATAGGGCATATAAATTCAATTCATGAAAAGTTTAAGAAAAAGTGGCAAGTATGGTTATAATTATGGACGATTTGAGGATAAAAATTACCACAATTTWAACAAATAGTTTCAAAATAGTATTTTCATTATGGTATTAAATTTTTGCCAAGATAATATTTTCCATTGACATAATATTTTCATTGACATATTTAGCTATATGTCCACAGGTTCAACATTAATACTAAGWGTGAATCAATACAAAGAGTGAATCAATATTTTCATAGTATCACTAAAAATGGCAAAATTAAAAAATATAAAAAATACCACTAATATGGACATAACTTTAATATTAACAATTTTTAACTTATTTGAAAAATGATAAAATCATGTTTTTTTTAAGTAGGTAAAATAATGTTCATTTGTTAATTTAGGGCCACTAAAAATACCATTTTAGTTTCTGGCGTATTCTTGTTTTTAGTTTTTGGTTTTTTGTTTTTAACCATATGTTTGATAACCTTTTTGTTTCTTGTTTTTAAAAAACAAAAAACCAAAACATGTTTGGTAACCATTTTTAGTTTTTTATTTTTAAAAAGTTAGAAAATTGAACATACATATTAGAGAGAGAAAATTTTATGTAGAGTAGAGATGGTATGGGTGCGAGTGAGGATGATCTCCCCCATTATCGGGCTCGTGAAAATTTTTAGTCTCCGTCTCCACCTCGTTCTTGGGTTCGAGAGATCTTCTCGAGAAAAATTATCGGTTTTATAATTGTTTTTAATTATTTTTAGAATTTAAATATAAAAAAAGTGTAATAAATATATATTAATTATTTAAAAAATGGAATCRGGGACGGGGACAAGCTCGGGACATGCATTTTCTACTTTTGGGACTCAACCCTATGGAAATCTTTGTCTTCCCCTCATGTACAAACATGAAAATAGAGATGTAAATAAACTTTTGGAAGATAAATTTTACAGAGATAAATAAAAATATTTAGAAAAAAAATAGGTTGAGAAAACTTAAAGACAAAAAGAGAAAAATTTTGGAGAAAAAAATAAAGTCGAGAGGAAAAGATATGTTAAAGAAAAAAAAATTTATAAAGAAATAGAAAAATTACAGCGRAAACAAATTTAGAGATAAAAACAAGATTCAAAATATAAYTTTTATATAAAATAAATAAAAACAAAGATAAATAAAAGTTAYAGTGAAAAAGAATTGGATGAGAAAATAAAATATAATTTTTAGAAGAAAAAATAGATTATGGAGAGACAGAAAAATTATAAAATATAAAATTTTCGGGAGAAAAAAGTTAGGAAAAATATTAATTTTTTAAAGAGAGAAATGAAACTGGTCTATTAGAAAAAGAACAAAAATACAAAAAATGTTCGAGAGAGATAAATAACAATAAATATTCAAAATATGAAAATTATAAATATAAGAAAGAAAAAAAAAGTTRAGTATTAGAGGAAGAAATAAGACATYGAAAAACAAAAGCCTTTTTTGAAAACTACTTTTTCTTGTTTTTAAAATTTACATAGAATTTTGAAAAACAAAAAACAAAAAATTGAATTGGTTATCTTTTGAAAAACCAAAATCAAAAACAAAAAACCAAATGGTTATCAAATGGGCCCTTAGATATTTGTTATACATTTATTTATTTTTATCAACTTTCAAAAAATATCGATATTTTCATTGATGCCTCATTTTATCCACCTCTATATTTAAAATCTTAAAATAAAGATAGATTTGAAGCTCGTAAATTTAGATTTTAGACACGTTGAGTCATCATCATGATTTGAAAAATATATCAATTTGGATTGATTTTATTTGGATTGATTTTCATTCCAATTCATTCCCATTACAACTACGAGTAGATAAATGGGGCSCGGGTGTGATYCCATCACAATAATTTATTAAATTTATGTTACTTTTCTCCATTTGAAAAATAATTGAATGTGATCCATAAAAAACCTCTCTCTCTCCTCTCTCCATTTTTCCAACTACCTCTCTCTCTCAAATAAAACAAAAAGGAAAACTTCTTTTATCTCTTCCCTCTCCTTGTTCTCTCCCAATTTTCTGTTCTCTTTAAAAAAAACCTAGTTCACTCCTCTTTTATGTGCATCTCCAAATCATGCTACACATAAAAGTATTATTATTCAATGTATGATTAATTAGAAAATTTCATATACCGGTGTAGCATGAATATTATTTTCATAATAGTTATTGTCTGTCACGTCAGCATTCTAATTGAATGATGTAGAATTCAATAACATTATAAAATATTATTTATGAAAAAGAATTCATAATATTAAAAGGAAGAGTCTAAGTACGATGGGATGGAAATGCTATGAATGTTTGAATGATGTGGTACCTCTAGTCACTTAGTCAAATCAAATCACAATTTTTAGTTTCTCTCGTATATTGATCGTTACAAAATTTAATCGTCATATTGTTGTAGTCTTTTTGAATAATTTTTTTTGTCATCGGAACCTTAAAATTTAAAATCTTCCAATGTTCCATGAAAAATAATCTAGAAATACCCAACAAATATGATGCACCCTTGTTAGCCAAGGAGGTAATAATTTTGTTATCACATACTCTTCCATCGTAGATCCAATCGTACTAAAAAGAAGAGTTTTATTCTAATTAAAAAAAGGCGCTATAATTAAACRTTGAATCCTTGTCGGGTAGTGAATTATTTTTTGTTTCATTCTAACTTCTGAAGCATGGACAAAAAAACAAATAATTCTCAAAATGAAATTCGAAATGCAAATGAAATGAAGAAATTTCTTTGTCAGCATTAAAAATTAAGATCTTCTGATGTTACACACCRTTACAAGAACGTAAGAGTTCTATTATAAATGATACCTATAATTCTCGTTTTAGTGTTTAATCTTTTAAAATTTTCAAATTTACCTCTAATATATATAAAAAACTCTAGGTTTTTCTCAGAAAAAAAATGATTAGCATTCTTTAAAGAGTTTAGTGTACCTTTAAATTTAAATTATTGTTTTATTAATACATTTGGACACGTACGTGATACATAGATAATGCTACTTGATAMGTAAAACCCAATTCGTCAATTAACAAAATTCGACTCACTCATTAACAATTTTTTCTAGTTTTTCAAGTAGCATGTCCACAAGTTCAAATGTGCCAACAGAACAATTATTTAATGACACATTTTAATTGACTCTCTCGCTCGTAAACATATAAGTTAAAGAAAGTTCGGAGAGGAGAGAGGAAAAAGGAAGATCATGGGTGTGGTGGAAGAGTACTTGCCAGAAATGGCCATGGTTGGTGTTCAGCTCACTTACGCTGTAATGACTCTCATCTCCCGCGCCGCCCTCCTCCAAGGCACGAGCCCTCGAGTCTTSGTCGTCTATCGTCAAGCCATTGCCACCATCGTCTTTGCACCCATTGCTTACTTCTCTAGGTTTTCATTCTCAAAACTTCTCTTTCCCTATTTTTCTCTTCTCTCTTCTYTCTTCTCTTTCTTACATATTTTTGGCCATGGCAGGCCTAGATCCACGAGGATCTCCTTGAACTTGAAGAGCTTTTCTCTCATATTTCTCGCTGCTCTAATCGGGTATGATTCATAATGCTCTCGCAAAAATCTTCCTAAATTAAGTCTATCCAATGGTTCTTGATCTTTTAAGTAATTGTATATATGTACTCTCAATAATGGATTAAAATAGATCCATTAAGTACTTTTGTAAAAACCCATTTCAGATGCAATATATTAATAAAACAATAATGAACCATGATTTATTTGAGAATACTCAAAATAAAGAATTTTGAAAGATTATTAATTACCCTAGACGACCATTAGTACCCAATTTGTATATATTTAGCCTTATTTCTCATAATTATTCCTCTTCTTCTCATCTTTGAGAGATTTGGATAGGGCAACAATAAATCAGAACGCTTACTTTGAAGGAATTTTGTTAGCAACCTCATCGTTGGCGATAGCGATGATGAATCTAATTCCGGCCATTACATTTGTGATGGCTACCATTTTCAGGTAAGTTGGTGAGATTACATTATACCATACTTAACATTTGAGTTAGTAGTAATTTAACAAATTAACGGGCGCTTGTAGAATGGAGAGTGTGAAGATAAGAAGCTTGAGGAGCATAGCGAAGATGGGAGGGACAGTGATCTGTGTTGGTGGGGCCATTTGCATGGCCCTTCTGAGGGGTCCAAAGCTTCTCAATGGCACACGTGGTGATCACGTGGTGAAATCTGCCATAATATTTAGTGTGAAAAGTGAAAGTGATGACACTTGGTTATTGGGTTGCTTGTCTCTGTTTGTGTGTTGCTGCTGCTGGTCAATTTGGCTGATTTTACAGGTATGCATACATATATATAAGATACATATATATATACACACATATATATTCATATATACACATATATAGTTGATGTTATATGAAGATTATATATATATWTTTTGATGTTATATGTTTAGTCTTCAAATATTTAGAAGGGTGTAAGAGTTTAACCGCTAAACTTTAAACTTTTAAATTTTGTATGGGATACGTTTGTGAACTAGAAAAAAAAAAGTTTAATATAATAAGTCAACCGACTTTCAATTTTGTATTTAATAATTAATGAATTTATTAGATTTTTTTTTTTAAAAATTAGATATTTATTAGAGCAAAATTATTTTGCATATTTATTAGATATAAAATTAAGAATTAAAAAATTTCCAGGGATGAAAATTTTATAATACTTTTTTACAAAAAAATGCATTAGAGGTAGCTACAATGTGGTGTGGTCTCATTCAATAATAATTTTTATTTATTTATTTATTTTTTTGAAGGAAGTTGTCTCGTTAAATAATTTTTCCTATTTTACACTTTTTAAAATTTAATAACTTCTTAAACACGATATTGAAAGTTTAGTTACTGTGAATATCATTAAACTATATAAAAAAAGTTCATTGATTGGCCGAAATTGGAGGGAAAAAAAATCTTGGTTTCATGGTGTTTTTTTTTTGGAACAAATATTGTTGATTTTGTACTTAAAAAAGTTGCTTTGTTCAAGTTCGTGGGACTGTTTTGAAAGTTGTTTTTGAAAACTACTTTTTATTCTTTTGTTTTTGTTTTTGTTTTGGTTTCGTTTCTTTTTCCTTCTTAATTTGTTTCGGTTACTGGCCTATTTTCTGAACTTGTTTTTTCATAATTTCCAAAGTAAGGTTTTGTAAATAGTTGGTTTGATTGGGAATTGTTTTCAAAATAATTTCATGTTTTAAAGAAAAAAATCTAGTGAAAGCCATGTTGGAAATGTTGTTTTCTTAAAAATTTGTTTTTTTTCCTGAATTTCTAGAAGAAAAAATTACAAATCGATTGATCATAATCACTCTTAATTCTTAAAAACAATTTTGCTAATTAAATAAACTCCAATCACCCCTCTCAAATATTATTTCATAGAACAAGGAATTCTTATTAACTTTTCCTTTTTGCACATTTAGATTTTGGGTAAGATCCCAATACAAAATAGATTACAAAACAAAAAACAAAGAAATTGTTGTTTCTCGAGAACAAAAGACTAAATACGAAAGGGTTAATATTATGAACCAGGTACCAGCATTAGCAATCTATCCCGACAACTTATCTTTCTCAACATGGGTGTGTTTCTTTTCCACGATACAGTCAATCATCGTTGCTCTATTGGTAGAGCGAAACAATTTTGAAGTATGGAAAATACATTCAAGTATTGAAGTGACTTCTTATCTCTTCTCGGTTAGTAAATTGCCCATCTCTTAAATTTGGAGTTAAAAGGAATATTTTGGTAAATTCTAATTGTGTTTCAATATGTTCTTAGGGAATAGTTGGGTCAGGTGCTGCCTTCTTTGTTCAAGCTTGGTGTGTTTCAAAAAGAGGCCCTGTCTTCTCTGCAACTTTCAACCCTCTTGCCACCATTATTGTTACTATTTTGGCTGCTATATTTCTTCRTGAGSAGATTTTTACCGGAAGGTAAATATTTACTTCATTTTTACGTGCTTTTTTTAGTACAACATTTGACGTGGAGAATTGAGGTTACGACTTTTTGATCGGAGGATATATGTCTTAATCAATTCAACTATGTTAAGTTGTCCAACATTTTCATTTAGACACCTTTTTTCTTTTTTAATTTTGACAATTTTTTCGGAATCCTATTGGATTGAGGTTTCATAGCTTCGCTGTGAATGAAAATTTTTCTTTTCGAAAATTAATTTTATGTTGAAATTGAACATGATATTTCACATTAGATCTGAACCCAAATTTTTTAAAAGATGCAAACTCACGTGAAAGATATCAAAATGTAAATATGCAAGATTCACCTCACCTTTCTTTCATAGTATTTATGATTAAAATGAAAATTTTCAATTAGAAGTTGTGTGAAGAATATTATTCCTCTTGTTGTTCATAAGTTTTTGAATAACTTGTTTTCAGTTTATTGGGGGGCGTGGTTGTAATTATTGGATTGTACATTGTCCTTTGGGGAAAAGCAAAAGATTATGCGAAGGAAGAAACCTCAGAGAAGCTAAGTGTTGAAGAAGAAGATAAAGAAGATCAAGAGGAAGGTTGTGAGACAGCTGAGGCAGAGACAAGCCACTCTAAGATTGATTTGGAGGAACCATTTTTGTTTAAATAATGTATGTATACATCCTGTTGACAAGTGATAACTAAGAAAAGCAATTTTTTATTTTGGTGAACTCACATTTTAATCTTAATTAAGATGGTTTTTTTTTTGTCACTGATTCAACTTTTTGGAAGTGCCACGCGTTAAAATTGTCCAGTCACATGGGTCGGGTCATAGAAAGAAGATGATGTTGGTGGTCTTCCTAGACCTCCAGCGCGACTTATTGCTCCCTTGCTAATGCCTCGGACGGAACGTACCTCCGTGTCCGCCCTTTTGGGATTATGTAGCCAAATCAAAAGAGAAATCTTTTTCCTTAAATTGAGAGAGAAATCACAGTATAAATTGGGCGCGGTGAGGCGTATTGCAATTTGGGTAAAGAGTGTCAGCAACATGTGGTGCCTCGTTTTTTTTTTAAGAACCATATGGGGGTGGGAGATCGAACTTACAACTTCTTGGTTGGACATATATGTCAATTACCGCTGAGCTATGCTCACTTTGGTTGATGCCTCGGTTTTACCCGATAATAATTAACATTCAATTTTTTTTTTCCAAATGATTAGCCAAACAAAATTTTCAAATAACTTCTAGGGTGTGGATTCAAACATATTTCCAAAATGAAATCTGAAACACAAACCAAATAAAAAGAACTCATGGTCTCGTTTTTCAACTATTGTTGAGATACTCATAAATGAATTAAATTTATCAAACTTATCCGCTTAAGTTTTTGGTTGAGTGGTGGTTTATTCATCCTTAAGATGGTATAAGTGCGATAGGCTCCATCTTTGGTATGTTTCTCACCTACATTCAACCAAGGTTCCTATCGTTGAATGTAGAAAAAAAAAAAAAAGTCTACATACATGCTATTTTATTTTACCTTATTTTATATTGAATCTCTACTTCTTTCTACCATTTGTTTATAGATGGCAACAAGATTGCCTTCTCCATCCCTATCCCTACCAAGAAAAATCCCTCTTATTTTAATTCTTGGTTTAGCAGTTGGCAGTTAGAACCATCTATTATCTTTGCCACTTTTTATTTTTCACCACAAAAATAGGATTTTTTTTCCCTCTCTCTCTTGTAAACATATAAATTTGAAAATTTGGTGATAGTTTAGGAGAGGAGAGAAAAAGGGTAGGCGATGGGCATGGAAGAGTACATTGACGACAACAATGGCGATGTGTTGGGGCTTCAGCTCCGTTATGCTGTCATGGCTCTCACCTCCCGCGCCACTCTCTTGAAAGGCATGAGCCCTCGAGTCTTCGTCGTTTATCGGCAGGCCATCGCTACGGTCGCTGCTGCACCCATTGCTTATTTCTCTAGGTTCTCGTCCTCAAAACTTCTCATTCTCTCTTCTCTTTCTCTCTTATATACTTTGGCCATGGCAGGCCCAAATCTAGAAGGATCTCCATGGACTTGAAAAGCTTTTCTCTCATATTTCTCGTTGCTCTTTTCGGGCATGATTTACAAGATTATGAGATGACTCTTCTTCTTTCTTTTCATCTAGGCTAAGTATGTTGGATGGTACCTAATTCTCTATTTTATTTTTATTATGGATTAAAGATTTTTAGTTAATCTATTGGTTTTTTTTTTTGACACATGAAACCAATTTGTCTATCAATAAGAAATATACGCATCATACATGTTAAAGAATAATACTTCCATGGTGGCTTAGGCAAGAAATTTTTTACACAAGTGGGAGAAAAAAAGAGACTTTTTCTATTTTAAAAAGTATACGGAGCCACTCACTAGAAATTTAAATTGTCCAATCAATAGGAAAGTATTATTCGTAGGTTAATAAAATTTAATAATATTATTGAAATTTTGTTAACAAAATTTAATATTTGTTTTAGCAAAAGAGGTTAATTAAGAATTTTTAATACATTAAAGTGTATAAAATTGAGAATTTTAAAGATAGAAAGTAGAAATTGAGAATTATCCAAATGAGGGTCATTTTGTATGTTTAGGGTTCTTTTTTTGTTCTTCTTTTGATTTTGGGGACCATGATAGGGCAACAATGAACCAAAACTTTTACATCGAAGGAAATTTCTTAGCGATCTCATCAATGGCGACGGCGATGACGAACCTAATTCCAGCAGTGACATTTGTGATGGCTATCATTGTCAGGTAAGTTGGTGGAATTATATCATACAGTAGTTAAACTTTTTGAATTTAGCGACGATTTAATAAATTCATCATGCAGAATGGAGAGCGTGAAGATACGAAGCTTGAGGAGCGTGGCGAAGATAGGAGGGACAGTGATATGTGTGAGTGGGGCCATGTGCATGGCGTTTCTGAGGGGTCCAAAGCTTCTCAATGGCACACAAAGTTTTATGGTGAAATCTGAAATAATTGGTGTGGAAAGTGAAAGGGATGATACCTGGTTATTGGGTTGCTTGTATCTTTTTGCGAGCTGTGTTGCGGGTCAATTTGGCTCATTTTGCAGGTATATATTTCGTTAAATTACATGTTTCGTCTCCAAATTTTATCAAAATCACGTCTCACGCATGTGTTTTAACTTTCAAAAGAGTCTAATAAGATTACGAGTTTTCAATTTTATGTCTAATAAATTTTGACCTATTTGACATTTTTCTAAACTTTAGAGACTTAATAGACATAAATTGTCTATTAGCCAGATCAAGGATTATTATTGACACAAAATTTGAAAGATGATAGCTTCTTAGATATAACAAATAAACGAAAACCGAGAAATGATCATACATATATATATAATGAAACAGGTACCAGCATCAACAAGCTATCCCGACAACTTATCATTGACAGTATGAATGTGTTTCTTTACCACGATACAAATCAGTCATTGTTGCTCTATTGGTAGAACAAAACAATCTTGAAGTATGGAAAATACATTCAAGCATTGAAGTGATTTGTTATCTCTTCTCGGTAAGTAGTTTGAATATATATATATATAATTTATTTTGCCCATGTTCCCAATTTTAAAGTTAAAAGGATGATTTTGGTATTTTGAGAATGAAATTGAGTTGTAATTGTGTTTGGGTTTTAGGGAATTGTTGGGTCAGGCATTTCCTTCTTTGGTGTATTTCAAAAAGAGGTCCTGTCTTCCCTGCAATCTTCAATCCTCTTTCTACCATTACTGTGACCATTTTGGGTGCAATATTTCTTCATGAGGAGATTTATACCGGAAGGTAAACCATAATTGACTTCATTTATAGATGCCATTTCCTTTTATTTTCAACATCATAAATCTCATGCCACCAATTAGGGGTAGGCGTTTTTCTCCCGATATTTGAGTAAGGTGGAAATTATTTCTCCATTTAACTACGATCGAGAATTTTTTTCACTGCTCGCTCTAATTTGGAGACTTTATCTGCTAAGTTATGTTTAGATTGACAAATTTTCATTGAACTTGATCTTTTATATCTTCAAATCTATTTGAATTTAAAGATAACATACTTTATTTAGAAGCTTTTTTTTTAGTTCTAGACATTGACCCACCAATTAGGATGGCCAATTTTCTCCAGTACCTAATTGGATTGAGATTTCTTTAGGTCCACTTTGAATAATGAAAAGTTACCTTTACAAAAATTCATTTTGTGATGAAATTGAGGAAGGAATTTTTCATTTAGACCCCAACCCAACCTTGTCCCTACCTAATTAACTATCATCTCAAAATTTTGAAAAGATGCAAACTTACATGAAAAATATCAAAATGTAAATATATAAGATTCACCTCACCTATCTCTCATAGTCTTTATGATTAAAATGACAAATTTGAATTAAATAAGTTGTGTGAAGAATATATTATTCCTCTTTTTGTTCATAAGTTTTTTAATAATTTTTTTTTTCAGTTTATTGGGGGCATGGGTGTAATTATTGGATTGTACATTGTACTTTAGGGAAAGTGAAAGAAGAAGATGAAGACTGTGAAGCAGCTGAGGCAAAGCCAAGCCATTCTAGAAAAAAGAAAAGAAAATAAAAGAGTAAGATACAACATGTAGATTTTGTAATTTTTTATTTTTCAACTTTTTGTTTTCTTTTGTTTTACTTTTTTGGAAGTTTTAATCTTAATTGTTGAGTTGTTTTCAACCAGTTTGATAACCATTTATGTTTTTAGCTCTTGATTAAAAAAAATTATATATGTTTGATAACTATTTAAGTTTCTTTGTTTAAAAAATATATATAAATTTTTGGTCTCCTGGAGTTTAAATGAGTTTTCATTTGTATTATTGAATTTTATATATTTTTTAAATATTTAAATCTTATTTTGGTAGTTGAATTTTTAAATCTTTTATTTTAATATCTAAACTTTGCGTAAATTTATTTTAGTCATTGGAGTTAAATTTTTTAATTAACTATTTAACATAAACTTCAAATAGCCATGTCTTTCTTTCTTTTATTATTATTATTTTTTTCATTAGTCGATTGGTAGATATTTGGAAGGACAAATGTTTCAAGCCATCTCTATGTAATAAGTTGCGTGTTGAGATTTTGTTAGATGATTAATAAACATTTAACGATGAGGGTTAAAATAGTAATTTTTGTAAAAAGTTGATAACCTAGAAGATAACATTTGAAAATTGAGGGACTGCAATAATATTTGAAAGTTGAGAGACAACTAAAATGGACACGTTTGTTTCTTAAAAAAAAAAAAAAAATTTGGAAACAAATAAATTTTGAATCTTTTTGTTAAATTAAGAAGTTTACTATGACCTTATCTAAAAGAAAGGTGGATCTTTTATAGTTCAATATGCTAGGTGAAAATTTGAAACATCTAACCTTAACATAGATATGATATCATAACTAATTGACCTATATTCAAATTAATTTGTTCTGCCTTGGTTTCACCCTTCACCTTCACCGTATTTGTTCCTATGTTCACCCTTGCCGTATTTGTTCCTCCATTCACCTTCACCGTATTTGTTCCTTCATTCACCTTCACCGTATTTGTTCCTTCGTTCACCTTCACCGTATTTGTTCCTCTGTTCACCCTATTTTTACAATAATAGAGAGAGAGTTGTTTGACTATTATTGAAAATTGAAAGTTATTTGACCATTTTTAAAAATTACCTATCTTAAAGGACTATAT